CAAGGACTACAGTTACGGGTCTAAACTGTAGGGCGATCTAGTGTCACTTTGACCAAGAAAACAATCCAGACTGGAAAATTACCGAGTCTCGCCAATTATAGAGCCTGGATAGATGCCAACGACGCCTGATTCCAGTCAAGAGTCGACTCTTATACTTGGAATATATCTATTCGCAAACGTAACTATTTTTAGTCAAGAGGAGGTCAGAGAAGTAACAGTGTAGGAGCCACTCTCAAAACATCTCAGCAATGAAAAACCACAATGTGAGAAGGTATTATTCAAGCCAAAATTAGAGAAGGGAGGGGGGAGAGGGGGGGGGGGGAACAAACATACAGGAGAATTATTTCGAATGAATTGACGGAAACATACCTCACTCTCTGAAGGTAATAGACCCTGTGGTTAAAAAGGAAAAGTGTCGACGTTAGTGAGCAAGCATGCTGTGTGAGCGCTAATTATAATCGCAGCAGCAAAATAAAAAACATGTGAAACTGAAGTAAATAAGTAAATGAGTATAAAACAAACATAATGCTGCAGTTGGAAAAATAGCTAAAGCCTGCAACAGCTCAAACTTATATATCTTTACAACTCCAAGCTCAAAGTGATTTAGATGGACTCACTCCTCCATTTCTACTGTTTTCACAAACTTTCTTGAGGAATGCAAAAGTTCTTTCCCGAGAAGAAAAAGATGTAAAGAAGTAGCGTTCTTTGTTTGACTTTAATGTTATCTGAATGGCGTTTGGAATGAGCCGAGCAGTTTTTGCTTTCGAAACAGTCTCAATGTCGTCAACTGCCAGGTAGATCTAAAAGATAATTAACCACCATATATTATGTCGATTCAAGCCGATACTACAAATACACCAGAGCATATACCTTAAGTTCGTAAATAATCTTCGAATAAAAGCAAATCCATTTGTCTGTAATATACATCCTTCCGAGAAGTAACAGTCCATTTTTATTCTTGACCAAAGCGCAGGAATAATCTAAAAGATTAGTGCAAATTAGTTGTACAATTTGTTAGAAAACAAGAATATTAAAACAGAGTGCTAAAAACAGCAAATGCATACTTTAAGTGTGAGCTTGCACTCAAGTTGAAATTCAACACAAATAATTCTTAAGTAACAGTACTTTGGAAAGAATTTAACTAATAAGCTAAAAATTACCAAATGGATATGAAAAGACGGAAATAGATCCAGTGGATATCCAGAGAGATAAAGAAATAGACTAAGTTATAAGTTGAAAGAAACTCAAAGCGACTTACCAACAAGAAATCTATCAGTATCTACCGGTGTTCCGTCAAATGTTTTCTTGAAGTAATTTACTTTATCATGATATGATTTTACGAAGGTTTCACGCTTGACCTATAGAGCAAACGTGAACATAGGAAGTAAAACACAAATTCCCATTAAAATCCAACTAATAAAAGAACCTACCTGATACCAGTTGGAGAGTTTTCTTTTGGGACCTCCGCTGGATTTTTTGGCTGAATAGGCATAAGAGGCTTCACCATCTCCTGAAATTTTATCAATAGCAAATGTAGAAGTGTTGAAAGTTCGAGTGGAGTGGAAATCAGAGGTTTCACAATTTTCGACATCATTTGAAGAGTCGGCATTGGGCATCAAGTTAGAGGATGAACCAAAAAGATCGGAAGTGTCAGAACAAAGTTCCTCTTCTTCATAAATTCCATCCAAATCACCATCTTCAGCTTCATTAAAAGTTGTTGGAAAGCCAGAATCAACAGTGCGCGCATCTCTTTCGGTGTCACTGAATGATGGATGACCATGTGTGGGAAGGGAAGGAGACGAATAACAAGAAGATAATCCCCCAGGCAAAGTTTTGTCCGACTCAGCGGTAAGGAAGCTTGATAAACTTGGAATACTATCACATGGGCGAGAAGGGATTCGGGAGGGTGAAATCATGACTTGGGTATCGTCTTTACTATGAGTCGACTGGTGGGAAAAGGAAAATAGTTATTATATTGAACAAGAGATGAACCAATAACAATAAAAAACTCACTCGAGATGCTAGTGAATTTGTGGGGGATCCAGTTTCCTTACCGTTCATTATTGGCAAATCTAAATGTTAAAAACAAGCCTATTAACTTATGATGTAGAAAATGTATTGAATTATAAATACTCCCAAAAGATATAAGCAAATAAATATAATATTGGTATCGCAAATGGAAAAATTGTGAGCAATAAAATATTGTAATTTCTAACAAGATAAGTAAAACACGAGGTTGACAGAAATATCGGAGCCCCCCAACTGATTTTCAAGCCAATGAAACCAAACATATGACGAGAAAACGTAGGGTATTTTACCTACCCAGCCTGCTATACTAGGCCAAAGTCAAAGCTGATTTATTTCAGAAAATACATTACTATAAGAGATTCCAAAAAAATATTTTTATTTTATATTCGATTCTAACAGATTTATTTTTACCTTTCATACTAATGAGAGATGACTTCCTTTTAGTAATAAATAAAGGCAAAAAATTATTATGAGACCAAAGAATTGGATCGGCATAGTAAATAAAAATTCTTGACTTTTATTTTATTTTTAAGATTTTTAAAAGGCGTATAGCGCTTGAACAAATATTGCTGCAAAAACAGTGACTGAACCTATTTGCACTACCAACAAGGTACTTTGTTGTAATTCTGCACCAGAAATAATAAACCGAAGATATATTTTACAGTAGAAATTTATTTATTCAAAAGATTTTCTTTACCAACTATGATCAATAAATGTTCGAACTCTCTTCTAAATACTCTTTTCCCGAACTGATTATGTTAAATTACTATATAGATTAGCGGGGTGTGCGATAGACTTACCTCCACGTGGTGCACCCTGGGCGACGTATACTCTTACTGCAAAAAAGTCAATTAACCGGCAGTTGACTTCTAACTACCATGACCCCACTGTATGTCATATTTGACTACTTCCACATTACTCACCTCACCTTTTTACCTTTGTGTCTGTCTCTTTTACATCTTTGAAACACTTGTATTCCACCTCCCACTCTCGACTTTTTCACTGATGTTCCTTCCCCTCTGTGGAGCCTGAAGTCAACAAGAGGGCTAATGATAACTATCAAAACGCCTGCCATTTGATATAAGTAAATGTAGATTAATTGGAAAAATTTTTAGACTTGTCAGTTATTAACTCA